CAACTGAAACCGAGTGCACTACGGTGCATTAAATATCCTTGATGCCTACGTACGACTTAATAGATACTTCGGCGTAGAGTAACTCTGAAACATACAATACGTGACCTATCTCATGAAATCTGATAACGGAAACTGGTGCGAGAATTTCTGGACATTTTTGACGTTGAGCATCTTTTTCGCTCATCCACATCCTTCAATGAAATGTCCTTTTCTTGTACAGAAATTGCATTTACCTAATTATATCAAATAAAATATCAGTAAATTTTGGCGAAAATGGACGTTGGAATACATTAGTGTAATCTCCTATGCTATTACATGTCCTAGACTCCAGTTACTCATCTGTGCGACCTTTTGATTGAAAGGATAGTAATTTGCCCGCGAGAGTTTTAATAAACAGATTTGGCCGAAATTGAAAAGGTATTTGATGTCCGATGTTAACCGTTGTACTCAACTTGCTAACACACAGGTTATTTTGAGAAAACCAGAAATTTTATCAATTCCTTAATGTCAAATTAGCATATCTGTTTGATTTGGTGCCCTAGAGTGCAGTGATAACGCAGATAAGGATTCCCTCGTTTAAATGGACTGAAATTGTTCTGCCGCTTGGAAAATTCTATCTGATGTCACATAAATGACCACCACCGAATGGTCATTACCAGGTTTGAACATATGAAACACCACTTGTCGTGTAGCTTAGTTGCGGTGCATACCTCATTCAGAAATAGAACGAGCAAAACACTAATAGTTTCAGCAAAATATCAGTATTTATAGGGGCGTTCTGCCGTGCATCTATAATCGAAGAACGGAGTCTAAAAACGAGTGAAAACAGTTAAAATGACCTCAATGTATAGAAAAGGGCATGTTCTTACGTGTACGATAGAAAAAATACAGTGATGTTTAGGAACGTAAGAGAAACCGCCAACACTTCTTAAAAAGGCAATTTATTAAGGAAAGTTTTCTTATTGATCGAAGACATATTCATTGATGACCTTCGTTTTGGAAAACCATTTTCCTCGAAAATGAAGTATGATGTTTGAATAAGTCTTCACACGTGACCCAAATGACCATCTCCGTGAACAGGAGCGCCCGAAAACTTACTGATTCGGTAAATGCCTTCAAGAATAATCTTATTTAAAAGTTCTGAACAGACAGTTAATTCAGAATACGTCTTTATGGACGATCGGGTTAAAACACTGAAACTCATGAAGTATTCAGCAATATTCCGAGACCGATCGGAAACTCGAATTGATTCAAAACGGACGGAAAGTATAAATTAATTTAACGGAAGAAATGTTCTCTCTTTAAACACAAAATGGTGTGTTTCTGATCACGCCTGTCACTTCTATCTAAATTTACTACGCACCGACCAGCTTAATATCATGTCATCTTATGAAAAATTTTGTTCCTGCGACGTCCCAATCGGTGAAATCAAACAAAATCCGGTTTCTCTTGTTGAACCCCATTTCATTTAACTCAAACGAGTGCAGGATAGCATGAATCCCTAAAAAATTGTTTTGGAATCTTTACTCTGAATGTAGGCAGTTAACAAATCGTCATAGATGAAATCACACTAATTATTAAACGATATTTAGACGTAAACTTCACTAAAACACTATTATGAAACATTATTTTATTTCTAATTTCATAATTTCATAATTAGGTTTTTGGTATAAGAATACATTCTGGTAGGGGGTGCTCACCGATCGCTATATACATCTTAAAACGAAGTTTACTAAATTAGAGCCATTTCTGGAGTTTCCACGATATTGCGCTTTTCTAAAGAAATCGGCATTTCTAAACAACACAACACTCTTTGATGTTTCTTTAATGTTTTTAATTCTTTTAAACTTGAACTTAATTACCATAGACGTTGGACTCATGAAATGGTGTCATTTTGCGAGTGATTGGCAATCATTCGTAAATTTCGACATATTTCACGAGTTAGGTCACTAAATGTATAGTGTTTTGAAGTTTGGTACGGTAATATGAACCCTCCTGTATTGTCGGTGGCCTTGGCCTTTTATCCAGGGGCAAACGCAGACTTAGGATTAGGGTTATAATGGCTAGAGTAAGCAACAAGGTTGCAGTT